TGGCCTGCTCTGTCATCTACCAGCTGAGTGGCCTTGACACGAACCTGTCAGTGCCTCAGTGTCCTATCTATGTCTACAGAGTGTTAATAATAATGGTCGTGGTGAGGTTTACTTAAATCAACACATGTAAAACATGTAGAACAGTGCCTGGCACCACAGAAAGCCCTTGATAAAGGATGATGATGGTGATGATGATGGTGGGTGTGGTGGTGATAAGAGGTCCAATGTGGAAGGCATGTCAGTTATCCAGGAGGCTGGGAAGGGCGTGCAGAACTGGTCTTGTTGGCAGAGGAGAAGGAGCTCCCTCCAGGTGGAGGGTTCGGCACTATGGGCACAGTTAAGGTAAAGAGAAGGATGTTCTATGTTCTCAGAATTTTTTTAGTCAAGCAGGAACTGCTCTCAACTCCTGAATTCTGAGCTTGATGCTAGAGTGGAGACAAACATGGCATGTTTCCATCTCAAGACCATTTTGTTTGTTACCATGGCTGGTAACAAACAAATTGACTGGGCTGGATAAATATGGTTTGTAAGCAAATATATGCTTTTGTCAAATAGACATGGTCAGTGCCTAGAGAGGCAGGAAGGTTGATAGCAAGAAGAACTTGTCTTGTTAATTCCAGGTTGGGGAACATCTTGTTAGGAAAATGAACAAATCTGAACGAAGGTTGATGGTGTGGTCTGAGTTTAGCAAATTATTTCTTAGTCTTTTGCTTTCTTTAAAAAAAATAAAAAGTCATGGGCAGGTTCATGACCCACAAGCAAATGATATCAATGTTGAGCACAAACCCCAACCCCCCAAAATCCCTGGCATTTTTTTTATCCTTCTTATTCCTAGAAATGTTCCTTTAAAAAAATGAGGGACATGAATTGCTATGAGTCTCCAAAAGGACAGAAATTACTAAAAATAAAACAAATGACAGGTAGTGAGAAAAAGCCCCACCTAACTATAGCTGGTACATAAATAAGCCCACTTATATATAATTCAGTGTATTCTGTTAGAAAACATTGAATTCCCAAACAGAATAATCAGTTTAAAATTAATGTGGTTTATTAACAATTAAAAGTGATAACACAAGCTGAAGAAATTGGAGGTGAAATGTTGAGTTTCCTTTGATAGGTAGCGTAATTACAAAGTGTGCTTTTGAAGTTCAAGAAGACAGCCTTAGGACACAACATTTTTAAAGTAAAAATTGGCTTGCCCTCTGTTCAAGTGATTTATTTTGCACTAAGCAATGGGTGTGAGACATGATGTGATTTAAAATTTCATCCCTTGATGGAACTGCTTGAGGGTGACATGATTTTTTTCTTTTTTCTTTTCTCAGCCTGCTCAGCCTATGAAGTTTCCTATCTAAAAGTTAATCTTCTGAAATTCCTTAGGAATTTAAGGAAACCTAATCTTTTGGTGTGTCAACAAAAGGGCCTGAGTATATTGCTTTCCCTCTGACATTCAGGAGCCTCAGAGTGCCCGAGTGGCCCCTAGCAGGAGCTGGTGCTTACCATGGCCAAGCAAATCCAGCCATTCTTGTTTGGTTGCCTATTAAGTAATTACCTTCGGGAAACTTCACCTCTGCCATTAAAAATTCTCTTTCTCTCTTAAGAGAGCTTGAAAGATGTGGGGGTGAATTGAGGAGGGGAGGCGTAATATCCTTGAAGAGGAAAGTTAAAAGGAACTGGGATTTGGTTAAAATAGAAGTTTAGATTATCAAGGGAGCAGGTTATTGAGGGAGAGAAGAAGAGTCATAGTTTAAAAAACACGTTGATATTTTACATGTTTCAGTGAGTGCTTCATCTCTATTTTCGCCAAGGAAAATAAATGCATTTAACGGATTTTTAAAAGTTTTCAATAGTCTATTTATTAGAAAGAAAAAAGAACTTGTAAAAAAGTCTCTTATGGTATGCTAGTAAATGCTCAAAAACTGGCTGTCTCAGCGAGGGGAGGGCCTGCCCTGATCTGTAGCGTTTGTCAATTTCCTTGGTGTAAATGCTCCCATGATGGTGGATCCTATAAATGTAAAAATGTGAAGCTGGGGAGAGACGTAGAGAAACACACCATTATTCTTTCCATCGTACAGTTCCAATAAATGGAGATAACCTGAGGAATGTAGACAACAGTAAAAAGTTGTAAAACAAACAAACAAGGAAGTGATGAGTTCTGAGTACTTTTTATCTTTGTTTTTAATCCAACTTAATGATAAGTTTATATAAATTAATTTTTAATTCTGACTGTGTTTAACAACCAGCTCACAACTTTTCCTGAACATTTAAGGTGGCTCTCAAGAACCAGTATAAGCTCGTTCTAGCATGTCACTAAATACATGTATGGTATCTGTGGAAAGGGGTTTGGAAGGTCACATCCCAAATTACTGACCGTGGTAATTACCTCTTGGTGGGGAGTTGTCATGGTATGTGGAAGGGGACCTACGTGCGTGCGTTACTCTGTATACTTTTGTGTGTATTGCTAGTATAATAAAAGTGAATACAAGATGGTTTTTATAAAATATGAATTGTGTTTATACCAATACCTCCTTTCCCTCCTTTCAACGGAACCCAAACCCTTGAGGTAGCATGGCTCAAACAGAGGGAGTGTTGGACTAGGCACTAAACAATTGGTTTTTAATTATGGTTTGGCCTCTGACAGTCTGGGTAACTGAGAGCAAGCTATTTGATCTCTCTGAGCCTTGGGATCTTTGTCAAATGAAGATATTTGAAGTTTATCTGGAAGAGTCTATTCAGTTCTGTCTAACCTTTACATGTCTGATTATTTTCTTATCTCATTCAATAAGTATAAAGACTACACACCCAGGGACAAAGAGTTCTGTGAAGTCCCAACTCACCACCGATTTTATTTATTTATTATATTATTTATTTATTACTTATTTTATTTCCTGACTTTTCAGAAGATTATGGACTTGAAACTCATGGTCCCTGTTAATAATCATAATGATTGGCCGGGTTGAGAGAACGGGGGTTTTGGAAACTAGCTAAGGGCAGGCGCAGATGTTCTCAGATTAGCAATATTCCTAGCAGAGGGCTTGTTGGTTGACTGGCTCACTGATTGTGTGTGTGACGAGGGGGCCTGGAACTTGTGCCCTGGAGGAGTTCTCTCCCTGTGCTGCCTGGTTCGCATCCTTCTGGAATGAATTTGCTTGAGTAGCCATCCTGAACGTTGGTCTTCATTGAGCTGACTCTAGTGTCCGACCAGACAAATTAAGAGTTTGTTCTCAATCAAAATAATAAAATGGATTTTGACGGTTTTTATTTTTAAACTGTAAGATATTAGATATTCATTGTAGAAAATTTAGTAAATACAGATGAGCAATAAAGAAAAAGGGAAGATCGTTGATTTTAAAGCGTAGAATTTCCATTTTTGTTTGCCCCACGTCTTACTGGGCAAGCTCATCTGGAGCAGCTGCTTTGTGTATACGTATCTGAACATATGCGTGTTTGAAATAACATCATCCTTCTTGAGAGTGAGGCACAGCATGTACGCAGCGCGTGGGCTCTGGAGCCCACGTGCTCAGGCTGGAATCCTGCCTACACCTGCTGACTGTGCGACCTTGTGCACTTCACCTTGCCGCTCTGTGCCTTAGTTAGCTCATCTGTAAAGAGGGGACGTAGAATGTGCCTCGTAGGTTTGCTGTGAGGACTGAGTTGAGAACATAAAGCCCTTATAGAACAGTGCTTGGTACACTATTCAGTGAATGACAGCTATTTTTATTTTATTCTACCATATATTGCCTTACCATCGTTTACTAACCTTGCTTTTGGGCATGCAAGTGGCTTCTGATTTTTCACAACTGAGATGAGATCTCTTATAAGTTACAACTTTACGTATATCCTCAGGATACAGTCTTAGACCTGGAATCACCGAATATGCACATTTTAGTGTGCATATTTAACCACATATTGTAAAAATTAAAGTCCTCTCTAGACGCAGCTTAAAGAACACTCATGTGAGTGCACAAACAGGTGTGTCCCATCTCTCCCTCATGTCAGTGCCACTGAGCAGATTGGGCTTTCACATTCTTTATCAAAATGAGAAGTACATCGATTTCCATAATATATACAAATCTATGCTTTTCATCTTAAATGCAAAATAAATGCCCTGAGATACCATTAAACTGTGAATAAATCATTAAATTGAAAGCAAGTGTTTTTTCCACAGTTATGTCACCTGGTTGTGCCTAGGCATGGAAATACTTCAGTGTTGAGCAATTTCCCCCTTCCCCCCACACCTCCACCCCCCAAGACCCAAACTGCACCCCGCCTGGCCCCACTGCTGGGCAGCAACAGTGGAAGAGACACAAACTGCCTCAGGGAGAACCTGTACACCAGAGTCTGAAGGCAAAGGGTATTCCTGTCTCTCCTTCCCAGCCTTCTTGTCAGGCAGACTGCACTTCCTGCTGCTTTGAGGCAGATCCTTTCCATGGCCTGAGGGGAAGATGCTTTGTCCATCCCTTTGGGCTTGTTACTGTGCTTGAGAAGTGTGTTAGCCTGGCTGAGAGGGATGCTGATGAGGGACAGCTACAGTGGACAGTATATCAGTCAAGGTTCTACTGAAGACCAGAACGTGCAAGACACTGGAGACTCTCAGGCAGGAACCGGAACTGCTATCCACAAGTGGGATTTCTTCTTCCCAGGAAAAAAAAAAAACCTCAGTTTTGCTTTTAAGGTCTTTCTTCTGATTGGAAGAGGCCACTCAGATGATTGAGGACAATCTTGTTTACTTGAAGTTAAACTGATTGTCGATGTTAACCACATCTGCAAATTATCGTCACAGCAATACCTAGGCTGGCGCTTAATAACTGAGTACTTTAGCCTTGCCAAGCTGACACATAGGCAGTCACAAGAAGAAGCCAGGGTTCATGAACAGAAGTCCAATTCCCTCTCTCACCAGGTCCCTGGGTCCCTTGGAGCTCCATACCAGGGAATGCACAAGACTGCTGAGCTGATGTAGAAGCTGTTCGTAGTCAACTCCTGTCCTGAGAGAGGAGAGTGCCAACCTCTCCTCATAGGAAGGCAGAAGGAACTCATTAGCCCTATGTTCATGCAGGATGATTTGAAAATTATAAGTCATCAGGTTCACGTAGTTAATGATTTTAGAGGAAAGTCCTGAATATCCATTCAAGGGACTATTGAGAGCAATGGAGGGCCAATCACGACATAACTCTGTCTTTCCAAATATAATTCCAAAGTGAGTTCAGAGGAGCACTACTTCCATGGGATAGTAGGTAGTAGGTGCAAGGTGAAGATTCCACGGTCAAAAAATTTTAAGAAATTCTGGGTTAAAGTTAAACATGTTTCTAAACAGAAAAACCGAAGAGCCTCTTTAATAGGTTAATGTGAAGGTACACAGTATGTCCAGCTTACTTGACTGTGCGATCCATTTTTTGCTGAGCACATTTTGAGTCTAGTGTCCCACAAAATACTTTGGGAAAAGATGTTATAATCTATACTGTTGGCCACTGAGAATACAGTTGGAATAGAATTCCTTCCAGATTATTTTATGCATTACCATCTAGCACCACTAGTTTCTGTACAAAAGTAAGTTTGTGGAAGAAGTTATTGAACACCCACTCTCATGTACTGGATCTCCATATGTGCCAGGTATTATGATCAGTGCTGGGAACACAGGATTGCTCAGGAGTGACACAGACCCTCATCTCATGGAGCTTATGTCTTCTCTAGGCATGTGTCCCCTCCTCAGGAAATGACCCCTCAGGAAATGAGTCCTCAGATGTTCTAGATGGATTCCCAACAGACCCACCATCAACTCTGGTGCACAAGTCTCTTACAGGTTAGAGGATTATAGAAATGAGACCATGTATCCAAGCAAACAGTCTGTGCCTTGGCTGGAGGAAGGGAAGTGCTAGGAAAATTCACATTTGTTTTGCCAGAGAACTAGATCAAAACCAAAAGAAAGAGAATCCTTTCATGTGGGGTGGGCAGTCTGGCAAAAAGCAATGCCTCTGGGGTTGATGGAAATAAAAGGTGACCAATTTCCCCTTCCTGCTGCCAACATTTTCTCCTGACAGCCAGAGACATCCTTGACTGGAAACTTTGAATATGAGAAGATTCAAACAACAACAACAACAACAACAACAACAACAACAACAACAACTCAGTTTTTTCACAGCCATATAAAGTTAAAAAGCTGGCCAGGAAAGCCCATACCTAGTGTTCTTACCTCCGGGTTCCTTATTAGTCTTACTTTGCTGAAGCCGAATTTTAGTCAGGGTGAGATACTCTTGTGACTCTTAAAAATAAAACAAAACCAGATTGGCTGCCTTATGCTGGACTGCTGATTCCTTGGTTTGCCACGCCCCATATCTTACTGGTCAAGCTCATCTGGAGCAGCTGTATAACATACCTAGCCAGTGCTTAGTTGTGAACACAGCTCGCAGGCTTTCTAGAGTCAGTGTCCTATCCTGGGGAGTGCTCACTGGCAAAGAGAAAGTGATTCTCCAAGATGATTGGTGGGAGACAGGAATAACAGAGGGCTGCCTTTCCTTGCATCTTACACTTGATAGCAATGAACACACTTTTATTAAACATTTATTTTATGCAAAGCATAAAAGAAAGAGACATGAAAGTAGGTCAGATATCTTGACAGTAGACATTTAAATTTAACTCAGAATGGGAAATTATCAGTGGATGTTTTCTCAAGTTGGAATTGGACATGGACCTTTTATGTTTATTGTTCCTTTTATGTTTATTCTAGTGTCTAGTCTCTGCCTTTTTGCAGCCCCTTTCCCATAACGCTTCCATTTGACTCAACATACTCAATTTTTCAATCAGCTCTGATTAGGTGAGTGAGCAGGTTCAGTACCTTTGCCTTACCAGGTGGTGGGGCATGACTTAATCTTGTTGCTACAGACTGTTTTGGGGATGAGTACTGACCTACCCATTCAGTTTTAGTTTCCCCTTAATGTTGGCCTCCCACCGATTTCCAGTCCATCCCATCTTGATGTTTAAATTTTTTTAAAACATTGCTTCTTCTAAATCCCTTTGGAATCCACAAAAGCTCTTAACTTTGTAGGAGCTGGTCCTCTATCAAGTCAATTTCCTTAACTGAACTTGCTCTCAGCCTGAGCAAGACTGATCCAAGTGATAGAGAAAATTTTCTCTAAAGGTCCTATATAACCACGTGAAACTTTGTAAATGGTAGTGGTCAGTAATGCATGCTCAGGGCCAGTCGATGTGGGTTCAGATCCTGGATCTGTCATTTACTTGGTGTGTAGTCTTCAGTAAATCACTTAATCTCACTGGGTCTCCGTTCTCTCATGTATAAAATAGATACATGCATAAGCTTGTAATATTGTTGTGAGGACTAAAGGAAACTAAAGCACTCAGGATAGTACAAAAGTATTTACATAGTAAATAGACAACAACGTTAACTAGTGTTGTTGCTATTGTTATTCTTCTGGTTGACCTAAGGGACAGGGACAGAATTCATCAATTTGGGTTCTGCTTTGAGACTGGTAGGGGTGTGGGAGGTGT